TCATCCAAGACAGAAGAGAGTCAAAAGGAACCAAGACTCGGCAAACCCAGATCGGATACAACAAACAACTACCCACGAAGCTTCAACAGCTGAAATAGCCAAATAAAGCCACCAGAGCTAGAGTTCTCAAAAGGGTGTCAATAAAATCAGACAAAAACTCCCTCAAAAGATCCCTCCTATCCGCTAACTCATCCGCCGGGCTCGGAGAGATAGATCGGATTGAAGCTGCTGTTGGGTAAGAAAGTGAAAGACCAAATATTGACAAAACAAGACAGAAGGTTGAATTGGGAACTTGGGGAAGGCGATAAACAAGGAAGAGGAGAACAAAGCTGCCTCGAAAAACTTCTGTTCCTTAATTTTTTGGTTACCCCTTTCTTTTTTTTCTTCAAAGCTTCTGGTTTTTGGTCCTCTAGCTAGAAAGTGAGACCAGGGTGTTTATAAACGGAGGCAAAAGGTGGAGGCAGAAGCAGCTTCTATGGGGCATGAGGGGGTTTCTCTCTCTAAGTTGGCTGCGAGGTTTCTCTCTCTAAAAGTTTTTTCTTTTCTTGATTTTGATTTTGGGAATGAATATTTTGAAGTGGTGAGCGGTCAGCTGGCGTCGTATAGAGAAGAGAGGGCTGGTTTGTTCAACATTCGTGGCCTCCATACATATACTGTCTCATTATTGTGCTCTAAAACAGACATTAGAGAGCTAATCAAGATGTTACTGTACTGTCTTTGCCCACCTTCTTTCTCTTATTTACAGTGATTGCCATTACAGCTCTTTTTTGGTTTTTTTGTTTTTTNCTGCCACCCACCAGCAGCCGTTTTCCAAGCTTTTGAATTTCAATCGCCAAAATTCAATGCCTTGTTTGTACAATAACTTTCGAAATAAAAATTCATTAAAGTCACTTTTTTTAATTTATGTTTAAATACTATTTTTATTTCTTATTTTTAATTTTCATTCGTTTGGATGCAGGTACTTTTTAAAACATGATTGAAATATTATTTTGGTCTCTATCCTTTAAAATATTCGTTTTTTTAATGTATTTTTAATTTTTGTTCATTTTAATTTATATATTTTCAAAATATTTATTTTGGTCCCAATAATCATTTTCGTCCCTTCATTTTATTCTTAATCTTATTGTTTATATTACAATCTCAACACGATACTATAATCCATATATTTCTTAAAATGAAAACATTAATTTATACTAAATAATTTTAGTTATGTTCAAAATTTGTGTTAAAATTTTGTAAATAGGGACTAAAATGAACGCTTCTAAAAAGTGCATGGATCAAAATAAATATTTTCAAAGTATAGAGACTAAAATAAACTAAAGTTAAAAGTATAAGAACTAAAAATAATATTTTCAAAGTACATTGACTAAAATGAACAAATGTATAAAGTATAAGGACCAAAATAGTATTTTAACCTTCAAATATATATTTTGATATCTATAGTTTTAACTTTGTTTCATTTTAGTTGTTGTACTATTCAAACGTTTCGTTTTGGTCCTTGTGCTTTTTAAAAGTGGTTATTTTAGTCTATTCATTTTTTCGTTTTTTATCTGATTTGTTTCCATCAAAATTCTAGCATGACAATTCAGTTACTAAATTTGTTGAAATGTAGGTATAAATCTGTATTAAATATTTTCTATTATGTATAAAATTTATGTTAAAATTTTGCAAACAGAGATCAAAATGATCGCTTCTTTAATAAATATAGAAACTAAAATAAACAAAAATTAAATGTATAAAAATCAAAATGAACATTTTTTTTATGGGCACGACAAAAAAGACAGGAAGTGACGAGAAAAGAACAACTACTCCAGATTGTCAAACATTATAACATCTTCATCTCCGACGGTCAAGCCAAATGAACTAGAGCTGGGAGTATAACAACCAAAACAATATTTGAATATTTACTTCATTTTAAAATTTTATAAGATTATTTGATATTTTTTAGGACTTGTTCTCTCTCTTGAAATCATACACTTATGCAGAGCTATTTTTTATTTCTGTAATTTACAATTTAAATAATAAGGTGGTATTCCACCTATGGGCTCTTTTGGAAGGAGATTACTAATGTTTTGTCATGTCACTTTGACCTTGAAAATGCTCATGTCAACTTGAAAAATAGTGATTATAATTACTTTTGAAAAGGTATGATAATTATAAGTATACAATAATTTTTTGTATAGTAAAATCTTGGGTTAATTATTTGGTCAAACAAGTCGTATCCATAAATTATCTTCGGGAGAGTTTATGATATGATACATCGATGTAGAACAAACATACCTAATTTTGATAGGACAAATTTTAGTTTTAATTTTAAAAAATAATGTAAGAAATGTGATAGAGTTATAACCAATATAGAAGAAACAGATATATTTCTCACCACTCTAACAATTTAGGGTTAATATACCATACTTCAGTATAATTTGGAGTTAGAGACTAAACCATAACATAAACTATTAACATTCCAGCTGAGAAGATGATGGTGGCATAAAATCCAAACTTAAAATCTAAAAAATAAAAATAAAAAACAAAGAGAGATAGAAAAGATCAGTCAATGCAATGCTAGATAATTTTTAAACGTGACAATTTTAGTCAATTCGTTTTATTTTATTTTATTTTTTTCAATCACAATTTTAACATGAAATTTCATTCACAATAATTTTTGAAGTGTATATTAAAATTTTATTAAGAGTCTTTAAAAGTACATATATCAAAATATATCTCTCCTAAGTATATGAATTAAAAGGACAAAATTAAAAATATAAAAACTAAAATTAACAAAAATAAAAAGAATTTTTAAACGTTGAGGTTCAAAATGTGAAGGAATATTTGACGTCACTAGAATCTTAAAAAAATAATAATAAATAAAAATAAAAATCTGAAGGCTACCAATTATTGGCTGGCGCCTTGATGGTCGAGGCAAGGAAGGAGACGTTGTGATTTGTGGTTAATAATTTAGTCACATGTAGTTCCAAGTCACCCATTTTTCAGTACTAAATTAAAAAATAATAATTATAATAATAATAAAAAGACCACCAATTTTCCCTCCCTTTTTTCTTTCAATCACCTAAAAAAAAAAATATCTACTGTCTAATATTCTTTCAAGTAGGATTGAGTGAATCTTCCTCTTCTATTAAACTCAAATGAATTATTTTAATAATATGTTAAATAATTTAACTAAATAAAACTTTGGAATATTTAAATTGAATTGGTCCAAGTCATTAAGGTAATTTGTCGATCCGAGTATGGGTCAAAATCTATTCACAATTCTTTTTTAAACTAAATAAAAGTTATTCCGGTAATTTATTTAAATTTTTCGAAAAAAAAAGTGAGAAGTAATATATATACACACACATACATACATGAACGATAATAGATCATAACTACAAGCAAACAAATACAATTGTTGTTAGAAAAGTGTGTAAGTTATATAAAAGTAAACTGCTCGTCATCATCTACAACATTCATCCAACTTGAAAACACGTGCTTTTAACATATTCGATAGATAAGTACGATAGTATTTTCTCAATAAAGTAAGAGTAAGATGAATCATATTATGGAACGTAACGCATCACGATACGAGCAAGCATTCTAAGATAAACTCAATTTCAATTACTTTATAGTTTTTTTTTGTTTGGTGACATATGTCACCTTGGCTTTTTTTCTTCTCTTTTTTTCATTTTTAGTTTATTATTTTATATTTAGTGATCTCAATTTGTTGGGGCGTGGCTTTGGCTACTGTGACACTTGTTGATTTGTTTTAATTTTTAGTTGGGAGTACATTCCTTGTAAATATTTATTTCCCTAATCAAGGATTGTTTAGTGAAAAAGTAATTCATTTATATTTTAATTTCTATTAATGAAAATTTTTAATTAATGCAAAATAAAGAAATGAAATTTGACTTGACTCGTACATATGTCAAATTGCTCAAGATTATCTCTAGTTTATACAACAGTCTTGTTAGTTGTCACTAATTTCCACTGCAGTTAATTTTTAATCAATTATTTGATAAAATATTAACATAACTATATAATTTTTTGCTACTTACTTTATCAATGAGTATTGACAAAGACAAGTGTTTGGAGTAACGTGTATTAGGTTAGGAGTTAAATTTTCAAATAAATTTGAACCGATAAGTGTTTGGAGTCACAATTTAGGTGTTAGATTATCAAACATATTTGAATTCTTGTTTGGTGATTAATGAAAAATTATCCATATGAACTAAAACTGATTTTCAAGGCCCAAAAAACAAAATGCTTGAAAGTTGAAGAACTAATTCAAAGCAAATTCATATGTCAAACTGCATGTACAAAATTAGTCATAGGCTTAGAAACATGTAACTCCATTTTTTAGAAAATATAATACAAAAGTTTTGCCATGACAACAAAAATAAATGTTAACAAAGCAAAAGAGTTATCATTTACGCTCTCTTTGTTAACAAACCACAAAGAGTTATCATCTACCTCAGAATCGGAAGGATTTCAAAATCTTATCGGATTTCAAATACTATTTTTACATTAAAAAAAACTAAATGATCTAATTTTTCAAAGTAAATTACTTATTTACTTTTAATTTTAATTTATAATTAATAAATTTAGATTAGAAGTCCAAATCAGTACACTTTTTTATTATTTTTGTTTTATTTCCGGGAAACATTCAAAGAAATTCAATGATTTCAATTAATTCCAAATCATTATCGTTCCAAACAAGATAAATAATTTAAAATAATTTATCATATTTCAAATCACGAAATTTAAAATATTTATTAAATTTTCTTGACGTTAAATAGAGAGTTAATTTCTATATAGTCAAAGATCTGAATTCCCATGAATTCCCATCCTATTCTCTTGTTTTATTAAAAAAATAAAAAATAAATAAAATTTTATACTATAGAATAGTAATGTGTTTGTAATGATTTCTGAAAATATATAATTTTTAAATAAAACTTTTTTTTTCTTATATATATGACTATTTTTTTTTTACCATATATAATATGGTCACTGAGAGTAGGAGTTAGAACTTAGAAGTGGGGTTATAATCAAACAAACCTGATTTTTCTGCCGAGCAGAGTTCAGAAGAAATCCGCGCCGCCGCCGCCTCCATCTTCATCATTTCTGCCGAAATGGCTTCCTCTTCCTTGCTAAACCCAGCCATTTCTTTCCACTCTCGCAGGCCCAAGCTCGACGCTAATCCGAAATTTCTTCATCCCACTCTCCGAACTCGCCGGCTCCGAACCCCGGTTACTCGGGCATCCTCCACCTCCGATTCGTCCTCCTCTTCCCCGACCAACGGCTCTCCCCCATTGTCGGCCATCAAGAACCGCCGCTCCGCCGACGAGAATATCAAAGACGAAGCCCGCCGCCACCGTGCGGCCTGCGGAGAAGATCGCTGCAATTTCTCGGCCAAGTATGTGCCCTTCAACTCCGGCGCCGACTCGGCTGAGTGGTACTCGCTCGACGAGATCGTTTACCGGAGCCGATCTGGCGGTTTGCTCGACGTTCAGCACGATATGGAGGCTTTGAAGAAATTCGACGGCGCTTACTGGCGCAACCTCTTCGATTCGCGCGTGGGGAAAACCACATGGCCTTACGGGTCCGGCGTGTGGAGCAAGAAGGAGTGGGTGTTGCCAGAGATCGATCCCGACGACATCGTCAGCGCCTTCGAAGGTAACTCGAACCTATTCTGGGCTGAGCGTTTCGGCAAACAGTTTCTGGGCATGAATGACTTGTGGGTAAAACACTGTGGAATTAGCCACACTGGGAGTTTCAAGGATTTGGGCATGACTGTTTTGGTCAGCCAAGTGAACCGGCTGCGAAAATTGAAACGTCCCGTCTTCGGAGTCGGCTGTGCATCGACCGGGGACACCTCTGCCGCACTCTCAGCCTACTGTGCATCTGCAGGGATTCCTTCAATCGTCTTCCTCCCAGCAAACAAGATCTCTATAGCACAGTTGGTCCAGCCCATTGCAAATGGAGCCTTTGTGTTGAGCATAGACACTGATTTCGATGGCTGCATGAAGTTAATTAGAGAAGTCACTGCAGAATTGCCCATTTACTTGGCTAATTCCTTGAACAGTTTGAGGCTGGAGGGGCAAAAAACAGCTGCCATTGAAATTCTTCAGCAGTTTGATTGGGAAGTACCTGAATGGGTAATTGTTCCTGGAGGCAATCTTGGGAACATATATGCATTTTACAAAGGGTTCAAGATGTGTCAAGAGCTTGGCCTTGTTGATAGGCTTCCTAGGCTTGTTTGTGCCCAAGCAGCCAACGCAAACCCTCTCTATTTACATTACAAAACAGGGTGGAAAGATTTCAAGCCTGTGAAAGCAAGTTCGACTTTTGCATCTGCCATTCAGATTGGAGATCCTGTTTCTATCGATAGAGCTGTTTATGCTCTACAGAATTCGAATGGCATTGTCGAGGAAGCGACCGAGGAGGAACTCATGGATGCAATGGCACAGGCTGACTCCACTGGGATGTTCATTTGCCCTCACACAGGGGTTGCATTAACCGCTTTGATCAAGCTAAGGAACAGAGGGGTGATCGGCCCGACTGATCGAACCGTGGTGGTGAGCACTGCCCATGGCCTGAAGTTTACTCAGTCCAAAATTGATTATCACTCCAAGGCAATCCCAGACATGTCCTGCCAATTTGCTAATCCACCTGTTCAAGTGAAGGCTGATTATGGAGCTGTCATGGATGTACTTAAAGATTATTTACTAAATAAGGCTCCAAAGTCTAAAGTGTAATAACTGTAGATTATCGCTTGCTATCATCAGTGAGGTCTTTAAGTTTTGTTTGAGCTTCTTTCCCCTTTAATAAAATTTGGGATCTATTGCCCTCGATTCCAAATATACTGAGCAAATGAACGCTGGCTACAAGTTTACAACATAATACTCTCCCTGAGTCATGATGCTTTGTTATAATAACTAAAAAGACAAGCAACTTAATGAAGAAGTAGATTAAATAGTCTGGGCAACAGCTAAAGATGAAGCAGTGACAGCAATTGCTTGCTAAAAAACTACTCATTGTCCTTCCCCTCCTGCATTTGTCTGCTTCAAGAGTAATCGTACAGGGAGATGCTCTTGTCATCAGACACGCTAGCAAGTCGACCAGCTCGCACGCCCGCCCCACCAGGTGGTCGAAATGCAACCCCCCAGACCTGATCGCTATGATTAGTCATTGTCTGAACAGCTGTTCTCATGTTGAGATCCCAGAGCCTAACAGTTCTGTCGCTTGAACCTGTTGCAACAGCAGCACCATCAGGGCTTGCATCTACGCTCAACACCCAACTTGAATGGCCGGACATGGCTCCAATCAGAGTTTTCCCCTCCGCATCATACATGTGCACATGAGCATCATCAGAGGCTGAAAAGAGCAGTCGTGGCTCAACTGGTGAATACACAAGGGATCGCACTGGCATGAAGTGGCCTTCCAAATGGTGTAGAAACTTTGCGCGGGCTACGTCGAAGATGGAAATGGTTCCATCCATTGAACCGCAAGCAAGTCTTCTCCCATCAACGCTCCATGCTACTGAAAGTACAAACTTCTTGCTAGCAGTTTTATCAGTGGGCTTAGGTCCTTCTGGACGAGGAATTGATAAGGTTGCAGCCAGCTTCCATGTGCTTGTGTCCCAAAGCTTAATTGATGCGCTGCCTCCACCAGCAACTGCTAACATGGTACCCTGATGCAAAAGTTAATGTTAAGTTTGGACATGACATGTGACACGGATTAAATGGTTTTCCTGTTATTTTATAATCAGATTGAATAGAACTGAAGCACATCTCTCCTTCATTCAGGTTGTTGAATTCATGAGCATGCAGGACAAAGTTGTTATGTTAGAAGAAACAAACAGGTTTGCATAAAAGTTAGAACAGTGTAATTTGTCATAAATGACATCAAAGAATGATCAGATACCAAGAAATTTATAGGGGTACTGGAACCACAGTTTTGATATACATCTGATAATGAGTTTGCAATTATAACAGCAACTGGCATTTGTGCTAGTATGAAGAGAACCATCAAAATTACCTATCACAACAAGCAGTACTGAACAACACCACACTATATGCATCATATTCATTCATTGTTTGTCGATTATAAAATACGGTAGTAGTTATAAAATATTTATTTAAAAGAGACATCTCAATAAGTCAGTGTCACTTTCACAGACGGATTTCAATTTCTCTATTTAAAGGGCTAATTTGCATATGGAAAGTATTGATAGCTACCAGATACGACTCATAACGCAGATTCAACACAGTCCATCAATTTGCATACCTACATGCAATCTTTCTCATCAAATTCCATAGACTACCTTCTCAGTAAAATTTAATGCAAGTGAACAATTGATCCAAGTGATGTGAAACTAACAATAAACCGCTATACTCCACCAAAACATAGTCATCAACAGATGTTTCCTTCATTCAAGAATCTACTGAATGAGGCATCGTGTAAGTTGTTACCAACAAAGAACCAGAACAAAAGAAAAATCTATTATGTCAATTAGCATTTCTATCAGAAAGAGATCTGATGCTACAGATAATGAGTTGATGGAGCTTACTAGCTGCATTATGATAATTAAAAGATCTTAGTGACTACCTACATTATGTTTGGAATACTGAATAACACAAGCATATGTAAAATCAACTGGAAGATAATTGCAACCAAACATTTTCATCTCTAGGGCGCGAATCTAAAGTCTACTAGTTTAGGTTATGTGAAGGGCAAGTCATCTCGAATTCTTAGCAAAATCAATCTGAAGTAGTAAAATCAAAACCGGAGTAGTTGAGAAGTATTCCGGGAACCGCAAAGCAATCTCAAAATCTCAGCTAAACCATCCAATCGCCCGAAAGATACAGAAAATCAAAACGGAGAAGTCGAGAAAAGAATTCCGCAAAATTATACCTCGGAATTGAAGCGCATTTGCCAGACCTCAGAAGGCGGCGCCTCGAGAGTGGCGATTGTGGAGTTGGAATCGACTTCAAAGACGCGAACAAAGCTATCGAGAGAAGCGGAGGCAGCTATGAAACCGGAAGGATGAGCAGCAACAGAGACGACGCCGAGGCAGTGGCCGGTGTTGGTCCGCTCCAACTCGAGCTCGTCGGGCTTCCAGAGCTTGACGGTCTCGTCGAGGGAGCCGGTGAGGAGGACGGAGGGGCGATTGTCGGTGGCCGGAACCCAAGTCGCCGCCCATACCGACTCGTCGTGGGCATTTTCAACGGATTTGAGACCCGCGAGTTTCATTTGTTACGCTGTGTCGTCTCAGTGTTCGGGGTGACGCGTAGTAGAGCCCTAGGACGTCGGATCATCATTTCTCAGCGAAACAAAAAAGAGAAAACTAAAATAATAATAATAATAGTAAAAAAAATATAAATAAAACAAAACGACGTCGCCATCGGATCCTATGCCCCAACTGGATATCGACGTAGCGTGTTAAAGAAGCCGTGTAGGTTCCATTTCGAGATCTCAAAATCGATCTGATTTTCACAAATTTTTATATATTTTTTTTTACAACAAATTGAAATATCTTTTAACTTTAAACTTTAAGAGATGTGTTAATTATTATTGGCTTTTTATTTTTAATTTTGATTTTATTAAATGTTGGCTTTTTATCTTAAATTGTTATCAAACCTCATCATGTAATCTTCATTTTATTTATGTATATCAAACATTTTTATAATCTTTCGAAATAACTTTTAGAAATCTATTGTTATTTTTTAAATGTAACTAATAATTCCAAATTACTTTTTTAACACATACCAGTAAGCAAATCTGCTATTTTTTTCTTTAATAAAAAGGTGAATAAAATCCACTTATAATTAAATACAATACAAATAGATGACTACAAATAAATTATTAGTAAAATCCACTCATTATTAAATACAATCTATACAAATATAAATCACATGTGAATAGTCCATACTAGTTTCTACTTCTAGTAGTCAAGTTATTTTATCTTCATTGTTTATTAGTTCAACAAATATCAAATATTTGAATATATATAACCTTTTAAAACTTACGTATGATTATTCATTAACTAGTTGAATTTTTATGGTCCTTTAAGACACTAAATGGGCTAATTTAATTAAAAAAAACAATAAGAAAAATTTGTAAATAAGCAAATATTTATCTAGAAAACATGAATATATATACAAAATAATTGATAAACTATATATATGGTTAATTTGAATATGTTTTCCCAATAATTACTTTTTCAAACAACATAAACACCTCCTTTATACACGAGACAATTATTTTTTAATTCAATACTTTCAACTTTAATTTTAAATAGTAGATATTTGAGCTCAATCATAGCTCCACTGTTAAGACGTTTATTCTTTCTGTTTGTTTTGATTCGAGACCTAATGCCTCACATTGCAACAAAACAAAAAAACAAAAACAAAAAAATTGAGCTCAATTATCTTATATAATAATAAAAAATTAAACAACGTAATCATGTAATTTATTTATAACAAGAAACAAAGTTTAATAACCTTATATCTTTCTCACTCTCCACCAACTTTACATTTGAAACACACAGTTCCAAACACAAACAGTCAAATGGGTACCCAAAAAAGTGGGAATTCAAATATCACAATTAGAATTTAGAACCTA